TTAGATTATAAGAATAGTTGAACACGGTAGGTCCTTTTAAGGGTTGAAGCGGCACCAGGGAATACTAGGCTTAAATTTTCTTGATTTCAAATTAACGCGATGAGTGATTAGATCAGAGAAAGTGATCAAAAAGCTGCAATTAACGAAAGAACAAAACAACAACAAATTTTGTTAGGTGAGCCAAAAACAAAAAAAAAATGAAATTGAGTCTCCATTTCATTTCTTTTCCCAGTGACCCACTCTAATAAATGAATTTTTGCGAATGATGAGTGCAAAATTGGCAGAAAGCCCATGAAAGCCTCCAAAACTCTACTTCCTCCCATTTTTTTTTACTTAGGAATTTGTAGAAATACAGCCAAACTTGGGGTAAAAATCCTTCCCAAAAATTTGGGCATACTTACGCTCAAAATGGCAAAACCAAGTCAGTCGCTCACCACTCCTTCCCCCGTTAATGATTACGAAAGGCGAGTACTCTATAACTATGCCAGACGGCAAGCGATTAAACCGCTGCACAAAGAACACCTCGCCAGTCGCTGAAAGTTATGAGTCTTGAAACTCCTGTTACATACTGAGTTTCAAAATGCTCAAGGTCCAGTGAAACAGCATGGTGATCATGAAAGATGGAAATGTATTTGGAAAACCCCAACCCAATAGAGTGAATATCTTGAAGTAAACAAAGGGAGAAAGCAGTCACAAAAGATAAAAAACCTTCGAACTTTTGGCCGTTTCCTTGGCTTTCTTGGTCAACTTTTTTGTTCTTTTCTTGGGGGTTTTTTTTTCTTTTTCTTTTCCTTTGATTCCTCTCTTTTCGAGCGTCCAAATGACTCTTTTGGAGGAGCAAAAGCGGAAGAGTTAACAAAGAAAATAAACGGAAAAGAATCACTCAAAATTGATCACTCAGAGAGTAAAGTGCATGAGTTAGATTGAAGTTTGGCATTTCGATTTCATTTACTCCATTCTCTAAAAAACGAAAAAGCTTTTCAAAACCTAAAGGGAAAGGAAACAAGAAGGGAGTTGTTAATTAAAGAGACTTCTTTCAAATTACTCAAAACAATGGGTATTTAATGTACTTTCAGCTGTACTGAGTTAATGTACTTTAATGTACTTTCAGCTGAGTACTTTTAGTATACTTAATGGCTTTTTAAAATGCATCCGTTTTTTCGAAAACTACCGTAATCTACTCGCTATTTTTCATTCGATCAGCCTAATTTTGGCTCAGTCAATGATCAGTCAATGAGTCAATGAGTCAATGAATCACAAGGCTCTGTCAATGAAACCAAAGTTGAGCTCATCGGATGAAAAATCGGTGGATTACGGTAGTTTTTCGAAAATGGCTGCTTTTTAGGAAACGGATTTATCAATAGGAACGAACTCTATCCTTGATTCGAAGATTTTTTAAACCACAAGTTTCAACTTGATGGAAGCTAAGCCTGTTGCCAACTCTTCTCTTTATAAACAATAGATTGATCTCTTTGTTTCCAATTTTTTAGATCTTTCCGAAACCAATTTACATTTTTGTTCTTTTTGGAACTCACTTGGTCGTAGTGGAGCCTTTGAATCGTCATCGGTCATCTGAAATCGATCGAATACTCTAATTGGTAGTTATTTACGAGTAAATAGAATAAAATGAAACAGAAAATGGAATCCCAAGGCTATAGAAGGAACTTTCAGTTGTCAAATAATTCTCCTAAGCATTCCTGCTGATAGAATGATTGATAGATTGACTTGTTGAATAACGAGAGGTTGAATAAATTGAAACTAGTGTTGTGTTCGGAAAAGGGAACGGAAGCAAAACAGAAGGTGAGTAAATGTAGGAACGCTTGAAAATCTGAATTTTCAAATGACATAGAGTTCGGAAAGCAGCTTTTTATGAGAATTTTAATGAAGACTTGTTAATATTTTCATTAGAAATGACTATCAATCAATCTGAAACTTCACTTTCAATACAGAAAGTTGTGTTTGAAATTCTGAAAACCAAAAGGGCATTAAATGAAGGTTTTAGGGAAGGCGAGGTTTATTTTGAAACAAGCTTTATTGAGTCATTTTGCATTTTTACATAGAAAGCTGATTTCGAAGTCATTTGGAAATCGGTCAGAAAATCCAGAAAAACAATAACTCTTTCAGATGGACTCAATACTTTTCTTGCCAGAGATCCTCCCAAAAAGCTTTCCCTCTCAAATTTCATTAATAATTTCTGGTATCCCGGGAAGAAAGATAAAATCTTTCTTTTCATTTGTCTCTATTTGACTCTTGAAGAAGACGGGGCCTTCCTTGGGAAACTGAATCTATTTCAGCCGATTTAATTACCCATTTAACTGCTAAATTTTGTGAGTTTTATCTTCAGAGGACTATTTGATACTGTAATTCTATCCCTGATCAGAAAAACTAACTCTTTTCTATAGGAAACCAATTTTTGAGAAAAGTTTCGAGTCTTTTATTTACCCAACTGGGCTTAGCTGACATTCATGCTGGCAGTGTGTCAGAAGTCGTTTGTTTCGCTGACAAGAAAGAACGCACAGTTTTCGGCTTAATCACCCAATTCCCTGTGCCAGAAAGTCTGCGTTTGCGCGAAGGTATGAAAAGAGCGCTTAAGGCATTCTTGCGTGGCAGTACTTTATTAGTTTTTTCGAAAATTGTTATGAACTTTATATACTGAGAAGCCTGGTGGTTTTTATTTGAAATCACACTTACTCTAGCTCTTCTATCCTTATTAAATGAAAAAAATTAGACCAAGTGCAGCTTACTTTGAAACTTAATCCCCAAAATTCAACTTTAAAGGATAAAATATCTTTAAATCAGCTCTAGTGGTTTAGTTTTTAAAAAGAAAAGTTATGAACAGTTTGATTTTTGAAATCGATAAGGTTTTTCGATTGATCAAGACAGATAACCGATTAAGTTGAAACTGGCAAAGTGAACTTTGTGCTCTCTCCGTAAACACCCCCTTTCTGACACACTAAATTCTTTCATTTCCCCCTCACAGCAACAATAATTTGGTGTCACGTGAGAAATGGAAGAAACGAGTGCGCCAGAAGGGAAGTATTTACGGGAGCACAAAGTACAAGAGGTATCTGGGTTCAAAAACAATAAAAAGGAGCATGGCTACACTAAATGCGAAGAATTCCTTGTGAAGCCATTTCATTTGAAACTTGCAAAATGCTGATGATGCTGAGACAATTTCTTTCAGCGTTGGGATGAGGGGATCTTCTAGAAAAGAATTTCCTGTCATTTTTTCCACTTTTTACTCCTTTTCACCTTTTTCCAGAACACTCAAAGGTTGAGAAGAGGAGGCAATCTATTGGGGAAGGGGAGGAAAGAGGAGGGAAGGGAAGGGAAGGAAAGGGAGAGGAAAGAGATTGAAAAGAGACTGAAAAAGAGAAGAAACACACACTTTTCAACACATTTTACATGCTGAAACTATTCATTGTGGTAAATTTTCTCATTCTTTTTTAATAGTTTTAATCTTGAAATCTGTTTTTCTAAAGTCTGTCCCCGTGAGTGTCTCGGCTGGTTCTGCTTTAGCAGGATGTCCAATTTGTAGCAAAAATGAAGCTAAATTTAAGGCAAAAATTAATCCCAAAAGTCTGGGCATAGTGACGCCCCTAGCGGGGAAACCGGCGGAGTCGCTGACCGCTCTCTCCAAAAGGGTAGAATCCTACCGGACCGGTATGCCAAGTCGCCGGCGATTACGCGACCGATTGGCGCTATTCATTTAATTGAGTGTCTACTGTTCTCTTCTAACTCTTCACTACATATTTTAAAATCAATTCAATCAGTAAAATCAATGAATCAAGAGAATTCCGTATTTTTTTCCATTGGATATCGAAAGAAACAAAAATGGATAGATTCTATAAAAAATAGAGACAAGATTACGGGAGGGACAAGATTACGGGAGGGGGAAGGGACAGGCTTTCGGAAACAGCTCACAATTCTATTGTTTCAACCCAATTTTAATTCTGCTGTTATGAATGGATTGGAAAAAATACTGTTGAGATTTTTGGCCTAGTCTTTGAGCCAGCTCAGGTCAAGGACTAGCTCGACGGGATCAGTTACTTTTCGTAAGTTAAGCATGCTATGCCAGAGAACATTTTCTTCACTCAAGTATTGTAGAGCTTTACCTCAGTAATTTGTTTGAGTAATTTGGTTTTTGAAGATCAAAGTGAGAAAAGTTTCAAAGTGAGCTCTGTTTGTGATGGATTCAGATATTCAATTCCCCTTCGGTCTTGCAGTCTTGCAACAAATCAAGTTTTAAAAGCATTTCCTCTGCACTTATTCAATCAGAAATGAATATAAAATGTATTTATTGCAAATGACCCGAAATATTTGATTATTAAGTATAAGAAAATGAGTTCAATCATGATCAAAATTTGTGAAAAAAATGAGAAAATTGAGATATTATGGCAATTTTCTGAAAAATAACACAGAAAACCCGTTTAATTTTAAAAAATACGTCAAAAACGTTGAAACTAAACCTTTTTTTGTTCAACAACTGAATCCTGAGGTAAATTGAAGAAGTGGGTAAGTGAACAAATCGTAAAATTGCACTAAATTTCAAAAGTTTCAAGTTTGGAGATTAGAAATTGACAAAAAATGGCTACGATGCGAAAAAAATGAATATACAGCTTTTTAAAGTTAATAAAGTCAATAAAATCACTAAAATTGGCCAGACATTTCGTTTTTAGCAACGATTAGAAATCAATGTTTCAAAGTTGAGCCTCATTGGAGAAATTTCTTGTCTTCAATACGTCGGGGTCGTCGAGGGGAATTCTTCCAATCAAGCTCAAATCTCAAACATTGGCTTCTAATCTTTGAAAAAAAATCAAGCTTTTTTTGTTTTACTCTTTCACAATCGTTGCTGTGAGGGGGAAATGGAAGAAGGGAGTGTGCTAGGGAAGGGGGTGTTTATGGGATTTGGGAAAGCACAAAGTACAAAGCGAAATTCTAGAAATCTGCTGGAGGCTGAGAAGACATTGGATAATTTGCATGAATCTCATCAATTTTTAAACCCTCTGAATTCTCAGAATCTGATTGGCAGCGATGTAGTCGGCTTGTGGGAAAATCGGCTTCCTCCATCGACCTCCGCCCAAACGGGTACACGATCTGAGAAAGTTTGAGATTAGATTACAAATTTGAACTTTGTTTTTAGAGAAAGCCACAGTATACCGAAGTTTCAAACTTTTTTGTTCTTACATTTTCAAAGCACTTTTTCATGCATTAATTTAAGGCCAATTCCCCATTGAAAGTGATAGCTCTCAGCTTGTTGTGACAGCTCTCAGTGAATGAAATTGACATTGAAATTGAACTTGAACTTGGGAAAAGTTTAGAAGTGTTAAGAGTATTGAAATTAATCGAAGAAACACAATCCTCACCTGAAACATTGATGCAGTGAAAATTGAAAAAAATCCCCTTTTAGGCAAAAAAGGGTGTACACCATGTAGACGATGAGGAGGCCGCTGAAATTTTTGGATCACCGGATCCGGAACTTTCGACTAATTGTAAGATGTTAAAGGGTTTTTCCCTTTTTTTTTTAATGTTTACTTACCATATCACTACACATAAAATGATAAAATGTATGAGAACTTCGTAGACAACGGGCCATTCTGGTCGACCATTCCCTTCAATCACTGGATCCTCATCAGGAACTGAATGATAAAAGTCAAGAAGTTTCAAAAAAGAGGAGCACCGTTTGAAGTAATGTAAGTAGTTGAAGTAATGTTGATTAATCTTGCTCTTATCAAAATTCCATATTTTAAAGTCAATTAGCCGAATTTTGTAAGTTTAAAATGAAAAGTTTTCAATTTTATCCTTTAAGAAAGAAATTTTGCTTCTGCAAATGCAAATCTGAAGAAGAATAACATTTTTGAAAAAGATATTGAAATTAAATTTGGTCGTTTACAGTTTTTAATGTTCAAAGAGAAAGATCTTTAGGCTGATTTCACTCCTCTGAAAGCCACTCGAACTGAATTCTTTGCGAACCTTGATCTCCGTCGATCACCATCTCCATACCCAAATAGCCGAAAATGCGGGTTTTTCCGGCGAAATTCGACTGAACGCACTCGAAGATGCCGATGTCCGATAGATGGAATTTGCGCAACAAAAGCGATGAATTCGAAAGGATCAACGGCTCCGATTTTGAGGAAGAAATCGGGTGATTGTTCTGAAAAAAACACAATAAACTTTGGTGGACTTTGTGATCTCCGAATCCCGTAAACATACCCTTTCTGGTGTTTACGTGATTCGAGAGAGCACGAAGGTGCATCATAAAGAGAACTTGGGGAATAATTTTTATTCAAAAAAGATCTCTCGATATATTTAGTAGCGCATCTTTGGATTTTAACGTAATCATACTCGCCTCTTTCCTGCCCTCTCCATTGTGGATGTGTAAGAGTTTCAGAGTCCGTTTCAATTTGAGCGCCTAGTTTCATAAGAAGATAATTTATTGGTGAACACCGCAGTAATAAATGTAAATGCATACTGAATTTGTAGCATTTTTTGGTGTAAAAGTAATCAAATCCTTAGCAGATTACAATTAGAATGTAAAAGTTCCAAAGCAAAGTCCTATTCATAAAAGATCGAAAAGAATGTTTCAATTTATTTAGTACTCGAAGGTGATCTTCGAATTGAATGTTGTTGGTGGGGGATCATTTCATTTGGGCATTCGTTTTTTTCGAAACCATTACTTTTCATTTACAATAAGTCAATGCTTTTTCTTTCTTCTATACTGTTCTAAAATACTGTTTCAAAATACTTTCGATCTAATTCGCAATAATTCAAAATTCTTCCATTCAAAATTCTTTTTTTTCAAGAAAAACTCACGATTTTCCACGAGACACTCGTTTTCGGAAGGGCTTTCACATGCGGGCAAACGACCACCAATGGGGCGCCCATTTTGGGACGAGTCGGCACAAATTCTATCTCACTTTCTGGGGCAACAGTGCCCACGTAAGCCACCTGGAAATCAAGGAAATGGTGAACAAGTTATGAATTCCTTTCACTTCAAAACACTTCCAGTAATCAGCTCAACGAATAGTTTAAAACTTAACTTTATCTCATATCAGCTCTTTATCTTCATTTCCCTTTCTCTTCTTCAACTTTAGCAATTACCAAGACTCCAAAAAACGATTAGTAATCCAAACATAGTGCGTCACCCGCAAATCATTGAAAAAAATCCCCTTTCTGGCGCACTAAATTCTTCGATTTCGCCCACAAAGCAACGATTTGGTGTCACGAAGGGAAATGGATGAAATTGAGTGCACCAGAAAGGGGGTGTTTACGGAATTTTTGATACAAAATACACAAAGAGGCTTCAAAGACAAATTCTCTGTTTTGCTTGGGCATGAAATTTTTTCTATGGCTTTTAAAACATGATTCTTAGCCGTTCACTTTGAAACATGAGCTTCCGATTGTGGAATCTCCATGCCCATTTTGGTAATTAAATCGGTGCAAAAGTTTAAAGCATAGAGCAGCTTCTCTTCCTGCTACTAAACTTGCTACAAATTTCTAGACAAACCTCAAGAAAAAGTAATAACTATAGACTAGTCAAACTGTTGCAAAAAAATCATTAGCCCTTTACTTTGAAACTCGGAAATTGACTTTAAAATCTTTTCTCTCAAATTCCTCAAATGTAATATGTAATAAGACTCACTGTTAACGCAAAAATCTCGCCAATCTTCTCAGCTTTCGCCTCCAATTGACACCAATAAAGACCCTCATCCGATCGGGTGATATTTCGGATGACGAGGAAACCGACCTGAAACATAAAACGTATCAATTTAGACTGTTGTACCCGTTTCTCTCGTTTGTCTATTTAAATGTGACTAAAATTTCAATTAGGGAACTAATCTCCTTTTCTTTGAAACAGAACTTTTCAAGCCTTTCCACTCACCTCGGGCAATGCGTTTTCCCCTTTTGGCGCATCGCGACTCTCGTAGTTTGCGTTTTTAGAGCTAAATTTAATGAGGTTAATAAGTTTCATCCGATTAACTTCATTAGAATAACATCAGAATCTCTCTTGATGTCTTTTTAAAAACAAAACCACCATTTGCATGTTTCAAGTTAAGCGGCTACCTAGAACTCTCTGCTACAAGAATGCTACAGTCGATTGGGGTATTTTCCAAGTTAAACAAACTGCTGTCGAAATTGTGCATGACATGATATTATTTGAAGCCTTTCTCACCAATAGACGTCAACCTTGTAACATGAAGGATTACAGATTGAGACAGTAACCAAAGCTTTCAATGTTGATTGACTTTGTTTCGGATGTTCTCAAGCGCTCAAGCTCAAAGCGGTTCCGTAGATTCGATTATCTTGTTAAGTTTTCACATTTAGCTTTCCAAAAAGTACAGATTCATAGCTGAATGGGAAAAGTGAATGGGAATAGAACCCGAACTATAAACTTCGAACCTCAACTTTCCAAAACGCACCTCAAGAAAGCCTGAACTCTCCAAAACCCGCACTGAACACCAAACTTTATAAAATCCCCTGAGATAGTGTCCAAATTTTGTTGATTATTCAAACTAGAAAAGTAACCGATCAAAAAGAATGTTTCAATTTATTTAGTACTCCAAGGTGATCTTCAAATTGGATGTTGTTGTGCGGGGGATCGTTGGAGGGGAAGTAAGTAAGTAAGTAAAGTAAATTCCCCCTAGCTATAAGCTATCTGAATAACCCCCAAGTGTTTCAACATGCAAATGCATTTTTTCAAAGTTACGCACTTTGTAACGGTGGCCACCAATAGCCCGTCCTTGTACCAGTTAGCTTTCACGATTTTCGATGTGTTCTCAACAAATAACGGTTCACACATTAGAGCTGTTGTTGAATCTGGAAGAGTTGATCACTGTTTAGAGGTTTTGATCATTTTAAGGCATAAAGTAAATGATGAAGCCTTTTTGTGATCACTCACCAATTGGCAGCAGCATCTCCGATGGAGTCTTTGTAGGCAATTTTGGTGGGGAATCGGGTAGAGAGGAGACTGAAAATTCGAAAACTCTAATCTTTAGAGCATTTGGATGAAGAAAATAAGATTAATCTCTTATTCTTGGATTCTACCGATTTTTTTTGAAACTTGACTTCTTCTAATGAGTAGCTGGACCTTTAAGTTTCCAGATGTGCAAAACTCACTATTGTACGCCAGAATAAAAAGTATTCAGCCGACAAGATTGGATATCTTTTAAATGCTTCAAATCGAGTTAAAGATATTCAGTCAGGCTGGGGTACTGTAGTGAGACAAGCTGCAGTCTAACAAGTTTGAAGTGGTCAATTTCAAAATTTGCAACTTCAAAGTATTAAGCTCCTGAACAATCAGATAAAAATCAAGTACATTTTTATGAAATGGAAACTTTTATGCCGATAAAATTGAAACTTGAACTCAAATTTTTGCTTTATCCTGTTTCTTCAAAGACTGACAAGAGGAATGGGCTTTGTAATTGTAAATTGAATGCTGTCGGCTGAATACTTAAACCGGTATACTGTAGTGAGACAAACATTAGGATCTTATTGTATTTTTAAAAAATAGTTTAGTTTATTTATCCCCGGAAAATGCCGATTTCCCTTTGATTTCCCCACCAGATTGGCACAAGCAAAAGCAAAAAGAGAGTACATACTGGGTAATTTGCTTGATTGTGCCAATTGTGAGCTAGAGAGAGAGAGAGATTGTGTACGGGATATTGTTGGGATTCCCATAGGAAAGGGTATTCAGCCAAGTTTGGACGGAATAAAGGAAATCCTTGATTCTTCGGAATTCCCTGCGAATAACAACCAATTAACGGGGACAATTCCTGGAAATGGTCAGTTTCAAGATTGGAATTAATTGGTGTTAAAATCAAGAGTTCTCAGCTGCACTTTAGTTTTAACGTTACTTAATTTGAAACTAATGATTTTAATTTACCTTTGCCCATTTCTTTTTTTGAAAAATAAGGATTTAAGTAGTTTTAAATCTCTCAACTACAATCGAAATTCCTCAAATTTTAATCCTTTTCTAACTAATTTCTTCGTTTAAAATAATAAATTTCATGTTTGAGTTGGGTAAAAGAAGTTTTCCCAGCTTTAATTGACATTCCTTTTGTTGATCATGTTCATAGAACGGAAAGTTTCCATTTCTAATCAATGTTTTTCGTTATTCCAAATTTATGATAGGTTTCAAAATTGAATAGAATGAATAAGTCTTTCTAGCTACAGTCAATTCCAATCAATTATATTATAAAAGCATATCGCTTTCCACAACAAACTAACAATTCTCTTAAGTAGATTCATCGAAAATTCAAAAGATTCGTTTCAAAGGAAGCAACTTCAAATTGAATGTTGTTGGCGGGGGATCGTTTCATTTGAACATTCGTTTTTTCGAAACCAGACTTTTCATTTAGTTACAATAAGTCAATGCTTTTTTTTCCTTTATATAATAACAAAAAGCTCAAGCCAACAAAAATAATTTGATCATTACAGTAACTACCATTAACCATTAACCATTAACTACCATTACAGTAACTACCACTACCATAACAAAGTAGAAATTTATTGTTTTGGAAAAGCTTTAAATTGATGTGTTCACTTGATTTTTGTATTTCAAGCTTCACGAAATTTCCCTACCCGAAGAATTCATTGTTTCAAAATTGTTTGCTACACTCGAAATCCAATTCAACGTTAAGTGTGAAAGTTGAAATGAGATTGAAACATTTCTATCAAACTAACAACTTTATCTACGGCATTAAATGTATCAATTTCAACATTTGAAACTACATTGAGACCTTTGCAAGGTTAGTGCTTGGCTTGCTTAGCTTGCGATAGCATTTGTGAATTTAAAAGATTAGTTTCAAATTAGGTAACTGTATGCTGAAGCACCAAAAAATAATAAAGGTGCACTAATCAAAAAAGTTTTCTAATTAGTCCATATTTTAAATGCTAGTTTCAAATAAAAGAACTCGGTTCGAAAGGCTTAAAAATCAATCGTTGAAATCGTATTGTTCCGAATCAAAAAAACAAATATAACTAAAGTTTTACACCGTGAGTACTTTCAAATCTTAGATTTTGTATATATTCTTGGAAATCTTGATTTTTACAACTTAATTAGTGCTATATTATGTGTTTCAAGTCAATTTTTGACTCAATTACGCTAAAATTTCTCCACCTGAATGCAATATTTGCAGAGCGCTCAGAAGAAGTGTCCATGGCTTGAGATCTCGGTAGCGTTTTCGCATATTTTTCCTGGAATGGTTACATAAAGAAAATTTCGGAAATCTGCAAAAAAGGTTAAAAAAAGAAAGAGAATATGAATTTTTGTGAATATTCAAAGAATTGTCCAAGGCGTTTTTTCATTGACGTTCAATATTCTGAAACTTAACAATTTCAAGTCAAATAAAAGTTTAAATTGGTTTTTTTTAGGTGAAAAAAGTCGCAAAAATCTTCGAAAGCTTTAAAAAAGATTGCAATACATCGAGAAAATCTAAATTTGAACAAATTTATTCGAAAGTCTTTCCTTTAAACTTAAACACCTTGAAACTCAACAATTTCAAAGTCAAAAAGTTCAAAGTTGTTTTTAGGAAACAAAATTGAAACTCAGACATGCATTGGGAATTCAAGAATGTGATAGCTGAGAATAGCTCGATTTTATTGAATCATCCAAAAAAGATTCAAGGTTAACAAAAGGTTTAAAATTTCACAAATTTCTGCATGCAATAAAATTAAATGTAGACGTGAAACTTGAACCTTAGACTCTTAAACTGACTGAAGTGATACAAAAAAGGAGTTTCATCATGGAAGAAATTGTTTCTCGTTCTGGTTTTAGAGAAGAATAAAATTTTTCAGTCTTGCTCATTGAATCAAGGGTAAAAGTTCTAAAAATCGAAGTAAATGAGCCATTTTGAGTTCTGGAATTTCCGCGTAAAAAAAGTGGATTTCCATATAAAGAGAGGGGAAAAAAGTTGGATTCGCAAATTACACCCTTTGTGTTCATTGTCCAGTCAGGTCCATTCTTCCAAAGCACCACCATTTTCGAAATTTTTTGAAAGTTTAATCTTTGCCATCGTGCACTGTACTAATTGACCGCACGAAAAAAGAAGAAATTCACAAGTCCTTTACGGAATGAAAGTCGCTAAATTTGAAACTTTTATTTTAAACCTTTCAGAATCGAATTTTGGGCCATCTACAACTTCCTAAGTACCAGATAGAAACTAAATGTTGTCTTTGGTATACTCTGTGCTCTCTGAATCCGTAAACACCACCTTTCTGGCACACTCAATTCTTCCATTTCCCCTCGTGACATCAAATCGTTGCTGTGAGAGGGAAATGGAAGAATTGAGTGCACCAGAAAGGGGGTGTTTACGGGATTTGAGAGCTTAAAGTCTACGAAAAGACTGGCTCTAGTAGGTTCGAGAATATAAAACTGCTCAAGATTTTTATTGAATTGAAACATACGGAAAAAGAGAAATAACCGTGCGATGGAATAGGATTTTTGGGTAAAAGGAAAGGAGAAATGAGCCCATTCGGCCACTTTTTCTCCATTTTCCGTGTTTTTCCCCGATGAGCTCGAGTAGCGGAACGTTTGTGAGGAAGAATAAAATGAGAATACGAGGAAAGCTTTCTTATGGCTAAAAAACATATTTCTATACTTTTTTGGGGTTTTTTAAATGCTAGAAAACATCAATCCAAACTTCTCTGAATTACGTTTGCCAACTAGGATTTTAAATTAATAAATTTGAAACTGAACTTTTTAGTCTCTATTCTGATAGAGTCTAGTTATGAGTTGATTTACCAAAATGAAACAATTCAATTTACATTCAATTTACATTCAATTTACATTCAATTTACATTCAATTTACAAAAGTTTTACCCATTGGAACCAGGGTGAGCCGTTTGAAAATATTGCAAAAAAATGAATACTATGAAAAAGATCTCCATATCTAAAATCTAAATAAATCTAAAGATAAATCAAATCTACAAAATATATCGATATCTTAATAAATAACAGAAAATCTTGTTGGTTTCATGTTTAGTGGGTTTAGTTGCGACAAAGTTTCATCAATAAATCCTCAATTTTTTTTTCAATGTTTCAAGTTTGTTGGTATTCACTTTTGATGGAGTAATCCAATTCCAGGCAGTCTGTTCGTAAAAGTCTTTCATAAAATCTTCAAAAAATAAATCCCATTGCAAAATTTCCCATTTTCGAGGAAATTTCAAATGAAAATAAGTGAATTTTGGCAGTTTCCCCGTTTCTCCAATTTCCAAAGAAAACACAGACAAAATAAAGGAAAACAGGCGAATTTTTTCGCATTTTTTAGAAGAATCGGTTAGAATTGTATAAGGAATACTACAATAATAAAAGTAAAACGTAATTTTTCAAAAACGAATCCATTTTTTTTCTAATTAGAGTTGAGAAAAAGAAAGAAATTTCTGCTGGAAATTGCTTTTTTCTTTTAGTTTTTCTGGCTTGCTTTTAAATTTTTTAATTAGATTTTTCGAGGGAATTGTTCGAAATCCTAGTGTTTCCTGGTTTTTGTTGAAATTTGACTATTAAGAAAGAAAAGTTTCAAGCTTATCAAAGAGTCGAGTTTGCTAGTTTCGACAATCAAGAGATTATTGTTTTTTTTGAAAAACTCCAGTTTCAAAAAATGTACCGTTAGAGTTTAATTTGAGTCATTAATGGACGAAGCAAATGAGATGAGGTGCTTGTTTTCACCTCCACGACAAGTTTAAGTTCGCGTCTGTCAATTCTGGCTTAATCAGGCCATGACAGCATTTAAAGGTATTTAAATTAAAAATTTTTGTTTCAAAACTAAGCGTATATTTAAAAAAACAGTACAATAATTAACCAATTAACAAAAATAGTGATTTAAAAAATCTAAACCTAAAACTAGACTTTCAAACTGATCCAATCATTGAATAGTTGACCTTGGAAGTGGCGGCAAGTTCTTTTACAAAAGGTTACAAAATCCCAAAAGCCAAAATTATAAAATTGCAACAGAAGGGTTGACTGTTTCAAAATAAATTGGACAACGTGAAGCAAAAGATGCTTCATTTTTACAGGTTTTTGGAAAACTAGATTCAACAATCAAAGAACCCATAAATAAAAGCCGTATTATTTAGTGCGTTCAATTGATCAGATATTCATTTGAACACAATCCCGGGAAAAGGAAATTTAGATGGACGGTGTGATTGGGGGAGCAGATCCGACAACCAGATATTGAGAATAGCGACAGAAAAGACGAAAAATGGACATACCTGGGAGAATTGATTGCAGGAGTTGAGTGAAATATGGGATGCAGGTCAATTTGCTGGAAGAAAAGCTCAGTTTCTCATTGAAGAACTTCTTTTCAGTAAAATAAGCTCAATTTCTCTAAATAAGCAAAACAAGCAAAAATAGCACAAAATAAGCAAATAAGGCTTTTGAGTTTTTCGCTGTTGGTAAAAATGAAAATCTTGTTGAACTTTGCCGAGTCGTAGTTCAAGTATTTAGGGCAAAAACTTGAGTTTCAAATTTCAAATGAATTAACCCACGGAATAGCTCACTAAATTTACAGGAAAGGCACAAAAAAGAAATTTTCTTTGGAAGTAAATGTTTGAATTTTTCAAAAACTCTCCAAAATTTGAAACACGAAAGATTTCACTCAAAAGGCAGAGCTTAGAAATGCTTAAAAATTCCATTACAGGGTAATTTCCAGTTGGCTGGTCAGTGTGCTGTTCACCGCGCATTGCTTCTTTCTCGGAAGGGAAGGGAGGGAAGGGAAGGATGGTTAGAGAAGTGACTGGGGGAGAGGAGGAGTCCATATGGCAATTTGGGGAAAAGAGGCAGAGAAGCGGGGAAATCTCGAAAAGAATGCAGAAAGTTAGAAAGAGCTAAATTTCGTTGAAGAGAAGCTAAAGAGTCAATTCATTTCCTAAAATAAACCCATTTTAGACAACCTACCGCAATCCATCGTAGATTCACATTCGATGAGCCTAATTTTGGTATCCTTGACTGAGCTTTGTGATTCCCTCATCGAATGATACCAAAATTGGGCTAATCAAAAGAAAAATGTCGCCTGGATTACGGTAGTTTGTCTGAAATAAATGTCCAAAAAAAGTGACACGTGGAAATTAAAAGAATCTGAAAAAGATTCTATGAAAGTTGTAACATCAAATTTTCGAAAAAAATTATTGGCCATAAAGCTATGATATTCTGGGTGCTTTCGGTTAAAAGATTTAAAAGATTTACTAATGCAAATATGTACCAGAATCGCCCTCCAAATGCAAAACGAGGAACACTGCCCGGGGAATATGGCGCAACAGACGGCACTCATTTCCTTTTCCTGCCCTCCCCTCCACCCCATTCCCTCCACCCATTCCCACAACTCCCTCAACTCCTTATTTATGCCCATTTGACCACTCTGAAAGCATTTCCAGATGAAATTTCCGCATTTCTTTTGGAATAAAGTAATTTATTAAATGATAGAGACAATGTTTAGGAATATTATCCTGGCTTTGAGCAATTTAAATGCAATTTAAATTCTCTAAGCCGTCAGCACCATTAAATTGTCCAGTTTCGAAGAAAATAGACTAAATTGAAACTTTCTTATTGTTAACTCTTCAGAAAGAATCATCAATTTGAAGAAAAGAAACTGAATTCTAAATAAAATTCGATTAGCTTAGACATTGTGAACGAGGTTCAGGCTGATCTTTTATACAGTATGTCAACGAGTTGATCGGAACGTACGATCAACAAATCCGTTTCCGTGAAACGTGTCCCCTTTTCCCTTTCTTCCGTAATCTTGTCTTTAATTAATTGTAACTATTTGAAAACACTGCCACAAATCGCCACAATTCGACATCCTGTTAAACTAAAACCACCCGAAATGCCTCCAAGGTTTGTTGCAAGTTAAAACCGGCATGAACGAATGAAAGTTTCAAGTTAAGCAGAAAAACTCGGTGAAATGCGCCGTCAATATCCATGACGTGAGGAATTTAAATCAATTAAAATTAAATTAATTACTTAAATTAATTTTTAATCAAATCTATCCGCTTTTTGTGAGAGTCTGTGAGTGTTCACAAAGGATATCGAAAGATGAAAGATCGAAAGACCAATGTGGTACTTTTCAAAACCAAAAAATTAATTTAAATTCCTATTGACATGACTATTGACGGTGCATTTCACCGAGTTTTTTTCACTTAACTTGAAACTTTCATTCGTTCATGCCGGTTTTAACTTTCAACAAATCTTGGAGGC